GCTATTTCCCCCCTCACTTAGACGAAACACGACCATCACGGGCAATAAGATTCCGGTGGCTCTTGGGAGCTGAGGCTCGAGGTCAGCTCCCAGCAACAGCTCCCAGCTCACCGTCCAGCACAGTCCCTGCATCACTTCTACTGGGAGCCACACCTCGTCTGGCTTACATTTCACAGCCGAATCGTCCCAATGCCGGCACCAGACCGCACGCTCACCCAGTCAGACCTCATGCGAGAGTCCGGCCGCTGCCCCAGGCTCTGAAGACACTTAGATTTCTCCCCACATTGTGTCACCCCCGAAGGAGATGTTTTCTTTGTTCAGGTGTCTCTCTCTGCAATGCTCAGCCCTGCATACCCCTGGTCTTACTGGAAATGTAGCCAAACCTGTTGGCAGTCTTGGAGGGAGGGGACAGAAAGGTGCTCCCAGAGAACTTGCCCCTTCTCCCCGGGCCAGGGAGTAAAACTCCCATCGTGGGTGTGAAGAGACACCTGGGGGAATGAACGGAGAAGGTGCCAATGCACCACAGAAAAGTCTGAGAGCATCCATGGGCCCACCCTGAGAGACCTCAGGACAGAAGGATGGCATCGTGGTGGGCATGGGATGAGCAGAAATCTACTTAGTTGTATCATAGCCTGTTGGTACAGAGAGAGGGCCAGTCAGCAATGGCATATATATATATAATTTTTTTGGTACATACCCCTAGCAGGAACTGAACCCGAGTCTCTCTGGTCCACAGGCTGACGCTCCAAACATTGAGACAAACTGGCCAGGGCATGGCATTTTTATTCTTAATGGAGCCTCTTAGAAGCAAACATGATTGGTGTCCTAGATTTGACCATTCAGGACTAAACTGAGTTCCCTCAAAATTCACATACTGAAGTCGCCGGTGGTGACTGTCTGCAGAGACAGGGTCTTTAAAGGTGTTAAGTGAAGTGAGGAGATCAGAGTAGGTCCTGATCCAATATGACTGGAGTCCTTACGAGAAGAGATGCTTAGGACAGATACGCACAGCGATAGACCATGTGGGGACACAGGGAGCAGAGGCATCTCCCAGCCAAGGACAAGCCTCAGGAGGGACCCAACCTGCCATGTCTCGGGACTTCCGCCCCCAGAACTCTGAGACAGCACGTTTCTGTTGCCGAAGCCCCGAGTCTGGGGTACACTGTCACAGCAGCCCGAGCCAATGTGGCAGGGACTCAGGCCACCGTCCTGAGATCACCCAGCTTCCTGTGTGCTGACCCCGCGCTCCCAGAAACCACTGGCTCTGTGACTTCCCTTGTGGTCGGTCTGTCTCAGACACATTTCTCCTGAACCTCAGCACACCGGCAGATGGCTTATTAACATATACATGCACACACACACACACACGTCAGTGTGCACACCTACATGCCACAGCTGCAGGGAAAACACGCCAAATCGAGCTTCTGAAAATGCAAACTCGAAAGCCAGACCTCGGAACATCAGTGAGTGAGCCAAGATTTTGCTGTTTTCTGGGACCGGCCAGGCCGCCAGCGGTGATGGTCCAGCTACACTCATGTCTCTCGTTCTTGGGAAGAAAGCACCAATTCCGTCTAGAGGTTTGGTAGTTTGTTTTTCAAAAGCAGAAAGATTACCGATTTAGAATTTCAGACCAGCCCAAAGCGTGCTGAAGGGAAGGGCTGTGGTTCGGGGACCGAAGGAGTCCTGGACATCCGGGCCCCGCCTCGTCCTGCTGAGGACGGCAGGTCGTGGGCCCAGCGTGGGAGTCTTTAGTCACAAGAGTCCTGGGGAAAAGGTGTCTCAGACATTGGGAGCGTCTTTGTCTTGCACAGTGCGCCGTGATTGACACCTTTGGGGCCAGAACGGGCGGTTGACGCTTTGGGGCTGGCTTCTCTGGGGCCATGGGTGCTTGCAAGAAGGGTCGTGGCACTGAGGAGGCTCCAGCCCTAGCCCGGGACCTGGTCACAGGGCCTTCAAGGACTTACAGTGCCCTTTAAGACATCGGGGTTCCTCTCTGGGCTCCTTCCCCCAAACCATTCAAGGGTTTTCACGTCCTCTTCATGGTCTGTTGGGCCCTACAGGATCCGGCCCTGGCATGGCCCCACTGACCACAGCCCTCTCCCTGCGGCCCAGCCACAGGGCCTCCACCCCGCCACGGCCCCTCCCTGCCAGGGCCCCCTTGGCTGCCCACCTCCACCTGGTCTCCTCCCGGGGCAATCCCGCCAGCCTTCCGGGGGAGGCCAGCTGCCTCGACTCCCTGCTCAGGAGGGACCCGTGCTCCACTCTCGGAGCCTGGTCCCGACCCCGTCCTCACACACCCATCCGGTGACAGGTCAATGACCAGCTCCCGCCTTCGACACTGAGCACAGGGACGAAACTACAGAGCCAGCCTCCACCAACACGAGGCCAACGAGAGAATCCACAAATCAGCCCTCCCCGTGGGCCCTGGCGAAGGTGGTCGGACGCCGCCGGTTCCCGCTCACTCTGGATGGAATTCTCCCGGGACTGTTTTCTTTCACCCTAGACTGCTCCGGTTAGAGCACCAGATTAGCCAGCACAAGGGTTAGGACACTGCTCAAATCAATGTAATAGCCTGACAGTAAAAATATATAAAATGAGCCTCCCCCCCAACAAAACAAAAGATTCCGTTGATGGTTTAAGATTATCGGAAACACAGGACAGTCCGGGTGGGGTAAAGACACCTGTCCCTACACTGAATGCCCAGTAGCTGCCGTTTATCTTGAACATTGAGTCATTGTCCCCGTGGTCTCATCTTAAAGACAAAGACAACAGCCTGGCCAGTTTGGCTCAGCAGTTAGAGCGTCGGCCCATGGACCAGAGAGTCCTGGGTTCGGTTCCCGCTAAGGGCATGTACCTCGGTTGCAGTCTGTCCCCGGCCCTGGTTGGGGTCGTGTGGGTGGCAACCACTCGATGTGTCTCTCTCACATCGATGTTTCTCTCTCTCTTTTCCTCCCTCTCTCCCTCCCACTCTATCTGAAGATAAATGCAAAAATGTCCTGGGATGAGGATAAAAACACAAACAGACAAACAAAGAGCATGTGCAGTGCATGCTGGGTGGGTTTCCACCGAAGCATTGGAGTGTTTTGGTGCTTCAGCGATGGGGACAGGAGCTGGCTACGCAATCTCCACCTCGACAACTCGGTTCCTAGCACTAAAGCAGCCATGAACAACACTGAGCCAGTGGGACCGGCTGCGTTCCAATAAAACTTTATTCACAAACTATGTCAGTGGGCCAGATCTGGCCCCCGGCTATAGTTTTTCAACCCCCACCTAGAATATTCACATCATGAGGCTCCTCACTCACCAGCAATGTCAGATGAGAGAGAGAAAGGACATCTTAGTCTTGGGACCGTCATGTCTTAGACGGCTCAGCTGTCAGCTCATCGATCCTTGGGCTGGGCCCTTTCGCTGTGTCCTCGGTCGGAGCTGGGGTAAGACTGGCAGATTCCACTCTGCCTGGATCACATCCCTGGCCCAGCGCTGCCAACTCACTGAGTCCTGCCGCAACGTCCATCCCCTCCCAGGGGAAGCCCTAGAACAGTGAGTAGTGTCTTTTTGTCTTTTAATCTTTTTTCTTTATTGATTTTAGAGAGAGGAAGTGAGAGGGAGAGAGAGATAGAAACATCGATGTGAGAGAGATACATTGATTGGCTGCCTCCCTCCTACTGGGGATGGAGCCTGAAACCCAGGCATGTGTCCTGACTGGTGAACTGGGACCTCAGTCCATGGGATGACATTCAATCCACTGAGCCACATCGGCTGAGCTAAAATGTACAATTTTTTCTTTTTACTTAATTTAATCTAATTTTAATTTTTTAAATTGATTTTAGAGAGAGAGGAAGTGAGAGGGAGAGAGAGATAGAAACATCGATGAGAGAGAACATCGACCAGCCGCCTCCTGCATGTCCCCCACTGGGGATCAGGCCCACAACCTGGGCATGTGCCCTGACCGGGAATTGAACCTGTGGCCTCCTGGTGCAGGGTCAACACAACCACCGAGCCACACCGGCCGGGCATGAACAGTGTTATTGACAAGTCTCGCTGCTCGGCTCTGAGCGACACCGCTAACTGAAGCAGCACCCTCGGTCCAACAGAAGCAGCGCGTCTGCCCACTCGAGCTGTGGACGGTCACCTAGGCGGAGCGTCCTGGCACGGAGGTGGTGATGTAACACACTCCTGCGTGCATTCTTCCTCATCTGCCTTTGTGCGTCCTCCAGCTACGTCTCTTCCTATTTTCCCTTTTTTAAACCTCAGGCATCATTGCCAAGACTAAGCTTAACACCAGTTAATTAACCGTAAATTAATTACCCCCTAAATAGTGCTCGAAATAACTCCAGTGCCCATTAAATTCCGACGGCAGTGGAGCCGTCGGAGGCTGTGTTTATGAGAGGATCAGAGGACGAGACTGCTGGGCACACGGGGGGCATCGTGCGGGGCCCCCGCGTGCCCCCAGCGTGAGGAGGCCACGCAGTCATCCATGCCGTGACAGCAGAACATATCGCACAGGGAAGGTGGTAAGGAAGAGTGATTTCCTCTTAAAGAACACGGGCCATGGCTTTGGGGTTCGGGAACAGCCAGGACCGCGAGGCCCCCTGTGCTGCGATTCGGGGGTAGTTAACGTTGCTCTAGGTTTCCCGAACATCTCTATTTCCAGGACTTGTTCAGAAAAGAAAGTAGGACTGTTTTGTACAATAGGGGCAACAGAGGACAATTTCAGATACTTGTTAATCAGATCTTATCACAGTGAGGCAATAAAATAGGTCAAGCCTACGGGTTTAGAAGAAATTTTGGGTCATCCTCAGGCCTTTCATTATGAGGCTAAATGTGCTATAAATTTAAGCATGAAAATGAAATCCAGTCACTGGGGCCTCTTTTCAGCACAGAGACCCCGAGGGCCTGCAAAACTGGAGCTGTCTCTGCCAGCTCTGGGAACCCCCGCAGCAGAGAGGGGGAGAAATTAAGATTTTTAAGAAAACTATATATATATAAAAATTCCAAGAGTGCTCACGTCAGTAGCACGTGTACTGAAGTCGGAAGGATACAGCGAAGACGAGCTGGTCCCTGCACAAGGACGACACGCAACCGTGCAAAGCGTTCTCTGTGTTCAAAAAAAGAAAAGCAACCCGAAGAAAAACTAAAGTTGAACAGAGAAAGAAAAAAAGTGTGGCATTTTTGCTTTCATCTGTGATGTAAAGTGCTGGAAAAACATCGCTCCTACCGTAATTATGAGGGAGAGCAGAACGCACTACGGAACCCTAGCGTGCTCGGGCCTTCCAGGGGCCTGAGATGGCGCAGCCAGGTCTCCCGAACCGCAGGCAGTGCAGGGAGCTCGAGCCAGGGCGCCAGCACCTCCTGTCTGTGCACCGCAGGGGAAGAGAGGCTGCTGAGACCCTACAGCCAGGGCACCAGCACCTCCTGTCTGTCTGTGCACCGCAGGGGAAGAGAGGCGGCCGAGACCCTACAGCCAGGGCACCAGCACCTCCTGTCTGTGCACCACAGGGGAAGAGAGGCGGCCGAGACCCTACAGCCAGGGCACCAGCACCTCCTGTCTGTGCACCGCAGGGGAAGAGAGGATGCTGAGACCCTACGGCCAGGGCACCAGCACCTCCTGTCTGTGCACCGCAGGGGAAGAGAGGATGCTGAGACCCTACAGCCAGGGCACCAGCACCTCCTGTCTGTGCACCACAGGGGAAGAGAGGCTGCTGAGACCCTACAGCCAGGGCTCCAGCACCTCCTGTCTGTGCACCGCAGGGGAAGAGAGGCTGCTGAGACCCTACAGCCAGGGCACCAGCACCTCCTGTCTGTGCACCGCAGGGGAAAAGAGGATGCTGAGACCCTACAGGCAGGAAGGGACTCAGCTCCTGTCCTCAGGAACGGCCAAAGGCTGAGTGCGGGCTTGTAGGAGAGGGGAGAAGCTCAGCAGACACGAGGACAGGTCCCATTCACTTGCAGGGTCTTTTCCACGCACTTCTGGAAAACGCTTGCAGAACGAGTCCGAGGGAGGGGAAGAGATGGGAGAGAGCTCCCTGGCGGTGCAGGCCTGGAGGAAGGGAGCTGCCGAGGATGCAGAGAAGGCCCAAGAGCCCCACCTGACCCTGCTCCACAGGGAACAGAAGTCTCCAGCCTCTGTGGAGGGACCGCAAGCCCTCCCTTCCACAGAGCACAAGAGAAGACACTTGGCGGCCAGGAGAAGGGTAAAAATAAAAGTCCTCATCCTGGGGTAGGGAAGCGAACAGGGCTCGGTCCAGAGCCCCGTGCAAACACCACCACAGGCCTTGCCCACGGAAGTTGTACCAAAGACAAAGGCAGAGTTCGGCTACCACAGGGAGGAGGGACTGCATCACTTAGGAAGACCCAGACCAGAGACGCGGCATATAGGTCTGCCTAAGAATGAGGTCTGACCAGGTCAACAGAGAACTCAGTAACCCAAACACCCAGCTACCAAGTGAGATGAAATAAGAGTCTACCACGGGGCGAGGGGCGAGAGCGTGGAGAGACCCCACCTGTAACAGAGGCACACAGAGAAGCCCAAAGCTGTACGGGGAGCAGGAGCATTGAGAAGTATCCTTTGGAACCCCAATCCTTTTTGTGGATATAAACTAACCCTAGAGACATTCAGTGAGGATGGTGGTGCATTAACATCAGCACAGCAACAAGAAGACCCAAACCCAGCTCAGCTCCTGATGAGCGACTAAACCCACACTAACAGAGCAGGTAAGAGAAAGGTCTGCCCACCCCAGGCATAATGCTATTTACCTCGACCTCTGCTCTTCTACACACGATGTCTAGCACGAACACAAAACTTCCGAGACACCAAGAATCGAGACGAAGCGATCTCTTCAAGAGACAAAGAAATCAACAAAAGCAGATGCAAAGGTGACACAGATATTGTTACTGTTACTAGTTACTATTAGTCTATCTGTACAGTAACAGTAACAGTTACTAGTTACTGTTCGTAACTAGTTACATTTCCCATCTATTCTGTCCCTTCGTTTCTCCTTTCCCACATTCCCACAAGAATTTTCTCAGAAGTATTCTACTGTGTCTCCCCTCTTAGGTAGATGCTGTAGCTCTTCTTCCCCCCCCCCCCCCACACCTTCCTCACCCAGTCTTCTGCAGCCCATGCACTCAGCAATCTGGTGAGAGTACATGCATTTGGGTTTCCTCCTGATGTCTTCTCATATGACCAACCCACATGGCCATGAAAATGCCTCTGAGTTCTTACCTGGAAAATTCCTCTGCTCTTGCCCCAACTTGGCAATTGCCCTCAGAAAGAAAAAAAACAAAAAACAAAAACAAAAAAAAAACGTTCCTGCTAATCTCACTTTCCCTAGGAATGATATGTTTCTGTGTGAAATTGTGCAGCTTTAGACTTCACAGCTCGGCTCTTAGATGGTTTTTTATTTTTTATTTAAAAAAATTGTTTTCCCTTTATTGATTTTAGAGAGAGAGGAAGGGAGACAGAGCAATAGATAGACTTAGATGGCTTTTAAAAATGTACAATTTTTCTGAAATATGTTTTTATTGGTTTTTTTAGAGAGATCAAAACATCGATGTGAGAGAGATACATTGATTGGCTGCCTCCTGCACGCCCCCTACTGGGGACGGAGCCTGAAACCCAGGCATGTGTCCTGACTAGTGAACCGGGACCTCTCAGTCCATGGGATGACATTCAATCCACTGAGCCACATCAGCCGAGCTAAAATGTACATTTTTTAAAATTTTATTTAGTTTTTTTTTTAAATTTTTGTTTCCCCTTTATTGATTTTAGAGAGAGGAAGGGAGAAGGAGCGAGAGATAGAAACATTGATGAGAGAGAATATCAACTGGCCGCCTCCTGCACGCCCCCCACTGGGGATAGAGCCCACAACCCAGCCATGTGCTCTGACTGGGAATTGAACCGGTGACCTCTTGGTGCCTGGGTAGATGCTCAACCACTGAACCAGACTTATTTAGTTTTTTTTTGTTTGTTTGTTTGTTTAGTTTATATGGTACAGGAGGTGGTCTGCTGTGGTCTCTGTAACCTCACGTGAAGAAGAAATTTCCATTGAACAAATATATGTTCATCGATGATCATGCCCCAGACCCGTGCCCATTGCTCAGGACACAGTATGAATAAGAGATGATCGAAGCTCTAGACCAGAACATCAGAACGCCAAGCCGTGTCCCCCGAAGAGCTGAACACAGTGGGTAAGAGGAACTGCTAGTCTCCAGGGTGAGTTTCTGGGAACCCAGTGCACCGGACTCAGCTGGAGGCGGTAGACTCACCACACCTTCAGTGCCTTCTTAACTGTCTCTTTCCCAGCCACCTAGGCTCATGCGGACTTAATATTTTCACCTGTTCAAGGCTGTGAACCTTGGCATACTTCTTCCCTGTATTTCCCCACCCCCGTTGCCCTTAAAAACCCCAAAGCCAACCCAGCGCTCTCACTCTCCACAACACACAGACCGGTGTCGAAAAGAACAAATACTAAATACGTAAAATATTAACAATAAACCCGATTTCTAGGCAAGTCCGCCTCTCTGAAGGTGCTGTCCCGCTGGTTTTGCATTTCTCCGCCGTCTAAAATGAACAGGGTAACGGACACCTGATCCTGCGTCATTGCCACTGAGCCATCGTGAATGTCCACGGGCCAGGTGGCCGCTAAGGAAAGCTCCCAGGTAGCGCCCCCAGGCCTGTGCCGTCAGTGCAGTGGTCTGTCCTGATCAATTAGCCAGCAAACCCTCCAGACCAGTGGCCCCAACGCCTTCATGGCTCCCACAGACACGCGGGAACACAGAGTCCTCCATTTGGCATTAGAACCCAGTTTTCAGCCCTGGCCGGTTTGGCTCGGTGGTTAGAGGTCTGGCCTGACGGGCCGCAGGTTCGATTCCTGGTCAAGGGCACGTACCTGGGTTGTGGGTTCAATCCCCGGCCCTGGTTGGGGTCATGCAAGAGGCCACCAAATCGATGTGCCTTTCTCACATCAAATTTTTTCTCATCCTTCCTCCCTTCCACTCTATTTAAATTCAATGGAAAAATGTCCTCGGGTGAGGATTAATAACAACAACACAAAATCCAGTTTTCCTCTAGGTCTGCCGTCAATGAGCCACATGTCCTGGCCCAGTTACTTCCCCTCACTCGGGCTCCGATTCCCCCTCCGCAGAACAAGGAGGTTGGACCAGTGAAACATCCTGGTACCCGCCCTCTGTCACAGCTTGTGTTCCTGGTGAGTGGCTGGGAGCTGTTTGGAAATACGCTTGTTTGTTCTGGGTGCGCTCAAGGTCAGATGGTGAAGCAGCACAGTTTGTGTTTGGTTTCTCCAGCTCAGAGCTTACCCCTCCAGCTCAGAGCCTCCCCCTCCAGCTCAGAGCCTCCCCCTCCAGCTCAGAGCCTCCCCCATCCACTCAGAGCCTCCCCCTCCAGCTCAGAGCCTCCCCCTCCAGCTCAGAGCCTCCCCCATCCACTCAGAGCCTCCCCCTCCAGCTCAGAGCCTCCCCCTCCAGCTCAGAGCCTCCCCCATCCACTCAGAGCCTCCCCCTCCAGCTCAGAGCCTCCCCCTCCAGCTCAGAGCCTCCCCCTCCAGCTCAGAGCCTCCCCCATCCACTCAGAGCCTCCCCCTCCAGCTCAGAGCCTCCCCCTCCAGCTCAGAGCCTCCCCCATCCACTCAGAGCCTCCCCCTCCAGCTCAGAGCCTTCCCCTCCAGCTCAGAGCCTCCCCCTTCCACTCAGAGCCTCCCCTCCAGCTCAGAGCCTCCCCCATCCACTGAGAGCCTCCCCCTTCCACTCAGAGCCTCCCCTCCAGCTCAGAGCCTCCCCCATCCACTCAGAGCCTCTCCCTCCAGCTCAGAGCCTCCCCCTCCAGCTCAGAGCCTCCCCCTTCAGCTCAAAGACTCCCCCCTCTCCAGCTCAAAGCCTCCCCTTCCAGCTCAGAGCCTTCCCCCTCCAGCTCGAAACCTCCCCCCCTCCAGCTGAGAGCCTCCCCCTCCAGCTGAGAGCCTCCCCCTCCAGCTGAGAGCCCCCCCCAGCTCAGAGCCTCACCCCTCCAGCTCACAGCCTCCCCCTCCAGCTCACAGCCTCCCCCTCCCAGTCAGAGCCTCCCTCTCCAGCTCACAGCCTCCCCCTCC